TAAATTATACAACCCGACCCGTATTTGAGACGGATAAAAAACGGGTTATCCGGCGGATAATATGGATATTCATATTATTCCTGGATTCTTGAATATGATCACTTATGAGGGAATTCCTAGTCTCCCAAACTTGATGAACCCCCAATTTAAGGTTTTACAAATGTAAAAGTTAAGTACATTAGTTATCCATTGGTTATCTATTTTGTTAATAATTTTCTAAGTGGATAATATGGTTCTTATCCATATTCAACCAATTTTTAAAAAGTTCATTATGCAACCCATTTTTTAATGGATAATATGGATCGATAACTATTTTCTTTTACTCATTTTTTCACCTCTAGTTGTGATACAACATGGAAAGTTGGAACTACTGCTACCTTTTCATTTTCTTCTTCTTTATCTCTCTTGAATAAAAACAAACAGCATCAACATGTTATTATTTTCTTATTATCTTTGTGGTATAACATTAAGTTTCCCTTTGGAAATATTCTTAAAGATAGTACTATTATTTTTCCGTATTTGGTATTATTAATTTTTTCATTAATAAGATTTTTTGCACCAAATAGTGAGATGATTGCCATTTATGGAATAAGTCATTTTCATATCAATAACAATACATACCTCTAGTATTTCATATCATTTGCTTAAAACAACACGTAAACTACAAGCTTCAGCACTCAAAACAACCACCAAAATCATACCCACCTTCAATATTTACTGTTTTCTTACATACCTTAATATCCACCAGTCAAAACTAACATTGTAAAAAGTTTTTCCAAGGTGAAAAACAGTTTTGCTAATGCTGGCAGAATTCCAAAATTGATGTAAACAAAAAGAGGCACAAAACTCTGGACAACCCAAATGACATGTTCGTTTCAAACAAACAAGATTCAGCTTTCTCCATAGTAGATACAAGAGGTTGAATAGTGAAGAATCAAGCAGACAATGAATTCACAGAAAGAAAATTGCCTTTACTTTCTGTCCAACTTCTGCTTATTGATCCGCTTTCTCTTTTGGTCTTGTACATACCACACAACAGGGGAATATTAATCGGATACTAGTATCCTTCATAAGATCAGCATAAAAACAGTCGAGCTATGACGAATTCTGTTGAATAATGAAGAATAGGACGAGATGGATATGGAGGATTCATATAGCCGACTACCTAGTGTGAGATTGACGCACAATTGCAGAAGATCAATTCTGCTGCGAATCTCTATCACTTTATGCACTACTGCAGATCATATGACAACTCCTGGAAGTCGATTAGTCAGCGAAGATGAAATTTTGTTCAATGCTCGAATCACCAATAGTCCCCACAGGAGCACAAGCCATCCTTAAAATGGTGAAATCTCTTTGCATCTCTGACTACAATTTCCCTATTAACAATATTGGCAATTAGCTTAATTGTTGTATGACAGTCTCCACATATCCTAAGATTCTTAATCACCTGAATTGTACTACCAGGGACGGAATTCATAACCCCAAAAGCAACAGCGAGCTTCTCACTATGAACTCGTAATGTCAGTCCTTTCTCTTCCTCCTCAACATCATGAAGATCAGATGTCATGTTGGGTACATAGCCAGCTATCTGCAGCTTTACAGATAATTCCTCCAAATATGCATAAATCTTCTCATGTTGAGGGTGTTCTCTATCACCAACAAGAAATACATGCACCCTGCCTTTGAGTTCAAGCAGGCTGAACCCAGGAGGTTTACTTAATCCACGATTTTTCATAAGTATCCTCATCTTATCTACATCTTCCCACCTCCCAGCATCAGCATATATGTTCGAGAGCAAAACATAATACCCACAATTTGTCGAGTCTAATTCAAACAAGTTCCTAGCAGCAATCTCCCCAAGCTCGACATTCTTGTGCATCCTGCATGCAGCTAGAAGAGAACCCCAAACAACAAAGTCAGGCGTCACCTTCATTTCTTCTATCAAATTATATGCCTTGGCAAGGAAACCAGCACGTCCAAGAAGATCAACCATGCAAGCATAATGCTCCACTCCTGGTTGTATGCAATATCTAGGCTCCATGGCCTTAAACCAATACCACCCTTCATCCAGCAACCCAGCATGGCTACAAGCTGCTAGGACAGAGACAAAGGTAATATAATTTGGTTTTACCCCAGCTAAGTTCATCTCGTAAAATACTTGAAGGGCTTCCATGGCTCTACCGTGCATACCATAACCTGCAATCAAGGCAGACCATGATTTCACATTCTTTTCCTTCATCCGATTGAATGCGTTCCTCGCCGTCCTTAATCTTCCACATTTGCAGTACATGTCAATCATGGACGTAGCCACATATACATTATCCTCTAGGTTCATTTTTATAACCTAAAGAGATCAAAGCCCAATAGACAACTAAGAACATCAATACAGTTAAAAA